ATAACAATTCGTTCAATTACCAGCAACACTTTTCACTGAAGTTAAAACCTTGGGTAGCTTCAAATACATTCCTCTGCTCTTTATGAGTGACAGGAGCTGGATATAAGTGGGACTTGAGCTTGAGCTAACAGAGTTATCAAAGCTCATTCCTTATTGTTTAGTATGTTTGGGTTTGACAAGTACTTGCCAACTATGGGCAGGTAGGCCTGCTGCAGTGTTCCTCCTTTATGCTACTAAGACTGATTCAAGGCTTTCTTAAGTCAATTTACGACTCAACTGTGTCCTTAGCTTCCAACTCTGCTACTGGTCCCGGTTCTTATCATGTAGATAAAAAAATATCTTTTTGTCGCGACATCAACACGCGAGTACAGGCTGTGATACAGCATCCTAGCGTCCGATAGCTACACACTGAGGTCCGTGGTTCGACCCCCGGTAAGGGTGAAAACATTTGGACGTGTTTCCTTAAGACACTTGCTTTCTCTGCTCACCTAGCATTAAGTAGGTACCTGGGTGTTAAGTCTCCTGACGTTGGGTAGCATCATGGAGACAAAATTAACCCAATTTGCCCGAAATGATCTGCATAACAAGGGGCTTTCCATACATTATGTCGCTGATGTCAGCTATGGTATTTATAAGTTATATCTGCACTTGTAAAAATAAAGATTATACGAAAAAGGTCACAGAACTATTAAAAAAACACAGCTTCACTGTTTATATAGCACAATGTAAGGATCGTTAATATACTTAATGTCAAAAAAAAAAAAATCCAAATTGATAGTGTCAACAATACGACTCGGCGCCATTACCAGAAATTAAGTGTTGCCACAAAGAACTTTTAAAAATATTAAAACTGTACACTCTAAAAGAACATGCACAAAAATTGTGAACCCATTAGTCTGATCAATTATAGTGAACATCAGTGTACAAAAGTACACTACGTACATATATAAAGGAATATTTTTCACAGGTAAGAGGTGCCAGCACAATGCAGAAAGAAAAATTAATTTAAAATATAATTTTTAACACTGACTGAAGTGAAAAAAATGCAATTGATGATTAAGACATATACAACAGTTGTGTGTCTTTGTTGTTGAAACGTTTCGCCCACACATTAGGTTTCTTCAGTCAATACAGAGGTGGTAGATGTGTAGTGATGGACTGATTACATTTCACTACTACACCTGCTGGCTCTGTATCTGACTGAAGAAGACTACTGTGTGAGCGAAACGTTTCATCAATAAAGCAATAACAAACAAGAACGAACTAGAATAACAGAACAGACACAAACTAGTGAACAAACAGGCTAAATAAACCCGGTGCTTTCAATGAGCTTCGCCCGGAGCCATACGCACATAGTCAGCGTATTCTTGTTGTTCCTGTGTTCGAATTTATCGAACTCCACAAATACACGTGTTTAAAATACAGTTACTGCATGGGTCATGGCAGGAGGGGAGAGGTCATCCTGCCACTCACCCCAGACACTGACCGTCACTGTCAGCTCCAGTAAGACTACGTAGGCATGTCGCCCATCCTGTGTGATGGAATCAAATTGACGGGGAAAAGATAACTAGCTTTTGTTCCCACTATGTAATTGTCATATAGAATAGGGCAGCAGCCCATTGCTGATGGATCCAATTTTGCCAAGTAGAAATAATAATAATAATAATAATAATAATAATAATAATAATAATAATAATAATAATAATAGGCTGCTACTACTACCACTACTACTAAGAGTAACATTATTATTATTATTAATCGGCTGCTACTACTACTAAGAGTAATAATAATAATAATAATAATAATAATAATAATAATAATAATATAATTAGCAAAAGGCACAATACCGTGACTGGAATACACAAACAACCCGCACATGGGACAGAAACTTACGAAGACGTTCGGTCCGATTTGAACCATTTACTGTCACATAGTGTGACTTTTTAAATGGTTCAAATCGGACCGAAACGTCGTCGTAAGCTCTTCTCCTATGGTGTCCCGTGGCCTGGTGGCTATAGCTCTCCCTTCACACGTCGAGGGTCCGGGTTCGATTCCCGGCAAGTGTTGAAACACTGGCCGTGTTTCCTTACACTGGTTGTCTATGTTGACCAATCAGTAAAATAGGTACCTGGTGTAAGTCGACTGGTGTGGGTCGCATCCTGGGACAAAACTGACCTAATTTGCCGAAATGCTCAGCATAACAAGCGGTTTTCCATATAGTAGTATGTCACTGATGTCAGCTATGATCTGTATACCTTGTACATATACTTGTAGAAATAAATATGTGCGGATTATTTGCATAATAATAATAATACAAATTCCGTCGCTACAACGGAGATGGATCTCTTACCTGCTAGTGTCCTGGTCGCGGAGGCAGCCTGAAGGAGCAGCACCAGCAGCAGGAGGAGGTTGACAGGGCGTGGACGGCAGCAGATACCGCTACTTCCGCCTACACCGAGCCCCACCACCCCTGTACCTCCACCCATACTGCTCAACACCTCTGTCGGGAATAAAAGACAGGGGAAATTAGGAATCTGCTGTCGAAAACAAAAGTTATATTGCATATCACATCTGTCGACCTGTCTACCTGTAGGAGATTCTGAAGGATATCACCCCCGACCATACATACTGGTGGGTGCCTGATCAATTAGGCTATTGGTACCAGGATCACTCAAACTTAAGGATAGACACAACAGCTTGGTTGATCAGGAACTGACTTCAGGAACTCGTTACTTTTCTCTTTATAACTGGGTAAAGCACCTCTAATCACACTAATATAAACATTCGATCATGTTAATATAGTGTTCCAACAAACCTCGTTGAGGAGGGTTCAACCTCAGAACTGGAAAAATATACAGAGAACCTTCACTACACAAACAAATTCAAACACTGAATTTATTGGGAGCGTTTAACTATACAGACTCTTCAAAAATCACTTCAGATGAAAGAAGATTAAGTAGAAAAACTTGGCTTTTGTCTGTAATAGGTTAATTAGATATGTTGAAGTCCCTTGAACTGTACTCCTTGCGAATGCAGGCGATAAAGAAACATCACATTCAAACTTGGAAAATTCTTGAGGAACTGGTCCAAATTCTTACCACCTGGAAAATTCTTGAGAAACTGGAACAAATTCTTAACACTGAAATTGCTCCCGTCGAGAGCAGGAGACTTGTCAGACGGTACGAAAACCCCCCAGTGAAAAGCAGAGCAGTAAATACACTAACAGATAACTCAGTAAGTGTAAAGGGACCAAGACTTTTCCCACACCCACCCTTCAAGGGAAACTTGTATGGTCTTTAACTCTATTCCTGATCAACCGGGCTATACTACCTACGTTGAACTGAGTGTAGCTAGCTAGCGTCGACAGCTTGGTCGATCAAGCCAGCAGCTGGGAGGTCTGGTCTGGTACCGGGCGACAGGGGCGATAACATCCCCAAAAATTTCCGTATGATGAACGTCAGATATTATATTCATGGGTATCACTCAGCGTTATGGGAAATACTTCATGGTGTAATATTGACTGAAATATTGTTGTTTTGGATATTCCCAGCATTTGGAATCCTCCCATTATTTGGAAAATTCCCAATATAGGAAATATCCCCGGAACAATCTGTGGAACAATCGGTGAGGTGACGAGGGAACCATTACAGAGATGATCCACATTTACCTCCACTAAAGACGGTCCATCAGGACGGGTCTGATGGACCGACTACTCAGAACGCTGTGAGGCAGGAAAGAAGAGGATGTAGGAGGTTAGCCGAACAGGATACCAATCAGAATCTCTCTCTCTCTCTCTCTCTCTCTCTCTCTCTCTCTCTCTCTCTCTTCTCTCTCTCTTTTTACACAGGGTTACAGGGTTTTACACTGCTAATGGTTCCCTAACTTTATTTACAAGCTAAGAGCTGTTACCTACATCATCTCATTTAAAACCATTTTTAATATGAGATATACAAAGAGTGAACAGCATGAAGTTGGAGCCATCTCTCTCTCTCTCTCTCTCTCTCTCTCTCTCTCTCTCTCTCTCTCTCTCTCTCTCTCTCTCTATTTCGGCGCTCTTTACGGTATTACGATGGCAGTTATAAAACGCCATAATAACGAGCATAAATTACTTAGTAATTAGACTTCAAATTACTCTCTAACCTGTGTCAACAAATATCAATATGTGAAGCACGCATCGAGAAGAGAGAGAGAGAGAGAGAGAGAGAGAGAGAGAGAGAGAGAGAGAGAGAGAGAGAGAGAGATACAACATCAGCTGTTATAGCACTAATAACATTAAAGTCACTCTTGGAGATTTAATTAAGGCTACGTTAAGGGACTTAATGGGGTGATTTAAGGAGTAGTTACCATTGTTGCCTGACTGTGTTGACCTCGTTGCAGCAGCATTGCAGGTCAGTCATTCTATCAATATTCTATTAATTTACCTGTGATACACCCGTGATCGCTTTCCAGAGTTTATTGTCGCAGCCTGGCCTGAGGTCAGGCTTCTTTTTGTTGCCTGCTTTGTTCAACCAGGATGTTGCTGGTGGCCTGCTGGTCAATATGTCTGCCACCACCAGGTGAAAGAGGGCAGGTGACCAGGTGAATGAGGGCAGGTCACCAGGTGTAGGAAGGAAGGTCACCAACGTGAAGGAAGACAGGTCACTAGGTTTAGGAAGGCAGGTCACTTGGTTTAGAAAGGCAGGTGTAGGAGGTGCAGGTCACCAGGTAGAAGGGTGCAGGTCGTGAATCTGGTGATCAGAACGGCTGACAGGTCGTTCCTTCATCTCAGAGTGGGGAGAGAGAGAGAGAGAGAGAGAGAAAACTTCGAATTCCCCCACCCACCCTGCCCCTAACAGCAGGAAAAGTTACGCAAATTTTCCATTTGTATCAAAAACGACCCGATGCACCAGCCAATCACAGACGCCCCCATGGCTGTGACGGTATCAATGCAGCCAATAAGCGGCTGCCAGTAAAAAAAAAAAAAACAGTTGGAACCAAGAAGGCTGCTGATTGGTCACAGGTCGGCCGTTTTCTCTGCGGAAAAAAATCAGATGTTTACATCAGAGCAGTTCTCGTAGCGTGGAAAATTGCGCGTGAGCATTTAAGAGAGGATGGGAAAAATAAGATATATAAATAACGTTGAGTGTGCAGAATATGACGTAAAGAGATGCGCATGTTGTGTCTACAGCAGACCGGGAGAGTCATCTTTGACATGACCCGGTCCTAGACCAGGCCTGCTAGCCTGATTAATCAGGCTGCTGGTGCAGGTAGCACGTAGTACAACGTAGGCACCACAGCTCGTTTGATCAGGAACAGACTCGAGGAACTTTTCAAGGTCGGGACAATGTGAGAGTCAAGACGAACCACAGCTGCTGAGAACAAGACCATCTTTACCTTTGACGGGTTTCGAGAATTTCTCCACTCCTGCAGGCTTCTCTGGTGTTTGCCGGGTCAACCAGGCTGTTGCTGTTAGCGGCCGGCTAGCTCCCACAGCCTGGCTGATCTGGTACTCGCCTCGTCTACGTAGTCAGTATAGCTCTTCAACTGGTTAATATATATATATATATATATATATATATATATATATATATATATATATATATATATATATATATAAAAGGATGTAGACGTGGGTTGGGTGGAAACTAGTGATGTGGGTGGTGGTGAACGGGTGTTGGCGTAGATGGTAGTGGGGGGAGGGGGAGGGGGGGAAAGAAGCAGCAACGCATGAGGGAGGTGTGGTTGTGTGCGCTGAGTGTGGGGGAGGTGATTGTGAGAGCCGAGTGTGGGAGGCGTGATCATGGGTGCTAGGTGTGGGCTTGGGTGAGGGTAGGGGGTTGGAGAGTGGAAGAGACCATGGGTATTCAGGGGTGTTGGGGTGGGAGGTGGGGGAATTTACGACCCACGTTAAGTCTCGATAAAGCAAGCAAGAATACCAGGGGAGACAAAGTTAAAGTGAGTTACTGAGTGCCAAACATGATATAAGAAAAAAAAAAACAAAAGTGACAATACCGTGGATGGAACAATTCACAACCTACAATATCGTGACAGGAACAACTCACAACTAAACCTACAATACCATAGCTGGAACAACTCACAACTAACCTACAATACCATGGCTGGAACAACTCACAACTACCCCTACAATGCCGTGTCTGGATCAATTCATAACCTACAATACCGTGGCTGTAACAACTCACAACTAACCACAATACGTTGGCTGCAAAAACTCACATCTGACCCACAGACAAAGTGAAACGGGCCAACGTTTCGACCTCTCCTAGACAATACCACTGCGATTTGATAATGTCCACCAAGGACCGAAGCGAAAACTGCCATCACCAATTTGTGAGTGCGTTGTAAATAGGGGTATCAGGCGGATGGGCGTGTAGGCGGGTGAAGAAATGAGTATGTGGATGGAGGTGAGCTCAGTGTGTGCAGCTGGGCGTGGATGTGGGCGTGAGGATACAGCCTCGTCTCACGGGCGTCCCAATTTCACGCCAGCGGGGACCCCGAGACCTCTTTAAAATGTTTTTCTTCCTTTAATGACCAATCGTGACCGAAACCCGAAGTGGGAAGGGGAGAGAGAGAGAGAGAGAGAGAGAGAGAGAGAGAGAGAGAGAGAGAGAGAGAGAGAGAGAGAGAGAGAGAGAGAGAGAGAATCCTCAGGATTACGACTTGGTGTGAATTTCAGAAGGCAGGTATATCCTGCTATAGTTGGCGTTCAGGGGTCAGGACCTGTCAGGTTTGCAGAAATTCCTGAAAAAAAAAAAACACCTGCCTGGCTGAAGGAAGTTGCTTGAAGTTCCACGTACCAAGAAGGACGTGGCCGAAAGTTTCATTTTCCTGGGTGAACGTTCCCTGGAAGTTCCATGCCTCGGCGAGCATGTGGCTTTCAGTTTCATGACCTGTAAATAGTGTGTGTGTGCGGGTTCAAGTTCCATGTTCCCTGCGAATCAAGTTTCACGTCCTGAGGAGTTAAGTTCATACCATGACATATATATGGCTTTAAGTTTAGATATCTGGGAGACAATGTAGCTTGGTGTCCAATGTCTTGTGACAAATGTGTTCTATCTCTCGAGGTTCAGTGTATGTGAACAGGGACTCCATGTCATGTGACCAGTGTCGTGACAGGCAAGTACTGTGTGACACAGTGCCGTGACAGGCAGGTGCCTGGAGGTAGGAACCATACATAGTTTAAAGACGAGGTATGATAAAGTTTATGGAGCAGGGAGAGAAGAGAGGACCCAGTAGCGGTCAGTGGAGAGGCGGGGCCAGGAGCTGAGTCTCGACCCCTGCAACCAAAAATAGGTGAGTACAAATAGGCGTGTACAGTGCCGTGACAGGCAAGTGCCATGTGACACAGTGCCGTGACAGCCAAGTGCCATGTGACACAGTGCCGTGACAGCCAAGTGCCATGTGACACAGTGCCGTGACAGCCAAGTGCCATGTGACACAGTGCCGTGACAGCCAAGTGCCATGTGACAGTGTCGTGACAGGTCTGACAGGTCAGTACCATGT